CCAGCTTTCCTGGTTGCCGAGTTGAAAGTGGGTGACAAAATGCACTCGCTTCGCGCACACACACACGCACACACACCACACACACACACAGACAGCCTCTCGACAGTATGCGTTTTTGCTGGCTGTAGCAGCGCTATAGCGCAAAAACGCATAAAAAAAGAAACTCGAGGCAGGCACCTAAACAGAAGAATGCTGCAGGACTGCCTCAAAGCATTGTTGCTTCTCAATAGCATTGTTCATTCTGGCACCTACTCTATGCTAACAGCACAACTATCGTGTGGAGGAATAGAACAGCCGTTCTTTGTTCTTTTCGTTGCTGCTTTTCGAAGCTATGATGAATCTCCTCTGTCAAAAGCTGGTAATGCCACCAACTGATAGTCTAAGCCAGAGTGGAGATATTATCAATTTTTTCTGAAGAAATGATTAGTGAATAAGACGCTCGCCAATGAAATGATGAAAGTGTCTTTAACAAGGTTCGTGCGAATACTCTCTCATTGAATTCACAGCTACGTTAGCAAAATGGGACAGGATGTATTCGCGACTTATCTGGGACAAAATTTACGGTAAAAGTGTGAGCGACGGCTGCAATGAAAACAGCAGGCAGCAAGTCAACTTACTTTCCTATTACCGTCCACAGGCTTGCTGTGTTCGGAACATAACACGCGAAGACGTTTGCAGAACGTATTATTTGATTTATTGTACTCCTCGCAGAAGATGTTATAAGGATTGACCCGCGACTGAAATGCTTTCTTACAATTTTATCACAAAAACAAGTGAAAATCGTTCCATTTGAATTAACACAGGTCTCATGCGATTAGAGCATAACTAACCTTATTTGCTGTCCCGAAACATGACTGTCGTTCAGCGCGGAAAAAGCAGCGCTCTATATGTTTGATGATGTACTTGGTCGGGAACTGCAGCGCACAAACGGAGCAGTGCAGCATCTAAACTGTCAAATTCAAGAAAAGATGAATTTTCTTGAGACTGCAGCCGTAGCAGCATCTTTTCGAAATCGCAAGAGAAAGTGGGCAAGGCAGTAATAATTTGTGCTTGTTAAAACTGCTGCAAGTTAGAATGGCGGAAACTAGTGCTTACATAATCAGTATCCGTGTGTTCGTCGTGTTCGCTAGTACGCGACTCATGCTTCTCCAGCATCTGGCAAAAAAAAAAGGCTTTGAAAAGTACCACAAAAGCAGTTGAAATAACAAACTGACAGCACCACAAAACATTTACGAATTGACCATAAAGATGAGCGTCCATTTATATAAATGTGTATAAATAAATGATCGCCCTGCATACATGTATATATATATATATATATATATATATAT